CACCGGTCTCTCCTCCCCACTTGTTCTGGCTGCAGTGGTCTGTGTCCCTGCTGCCTCTGCCGACACAGGTGGGGAGAGCAGCGGGGATTGAAAAGGACACAGACCACTGCAGCCACCACCGGCAGGAAGGAGAGCTGAGGAGCAGATCGCGGCTGCAACTAATCTAAAAGCAACTTATCGATGATGAGAATCGTTGTCAACGATTCTCATCATCGATTATAATCAATTTAATCGATTAGTTGTTGAAGCCCTAATCAGATTTGACATAATGTGGCGGGAGTTCGTCACGTGCGGTTGGGTCGGTGTGCATCGTCTTTTTTTTACATTCTTTTTTCTTTATTTTTTTCATTTAAAATATTTGTATAATGTTCTTGACTTGTTTAATTTTTGCATTTTTTTTACATTATTTACAATACTTTTTAACAAATTTTTTCATTTATTTATATTTTTTCTATTCTGCTCGCTACCTCGGAGGTAGCGAGCAGAATAGCCGAGCGCCATTTGGCGATTCACTCACTGCCATTCGGCCTATATGAGAATAGGGGATAACGGCAGCGAGTGAGCTGCCGGAGCTTTGGCTCAGCCGATCCAGATGTTGGATCGGCTGAGTCAAACTCCTTCTGTACATGCAGAGCGTGATCGGCTGACCGAAGGCAAGGCTGAAGTGCATAGCCGAACAGCGTTCGGCTCTCTTCATTTCAGGTGGGTTTTTCACTCGGCTGCCTTCAGCAGCTAAGTGAATAACCCCCTAAGTATTAGGTCTCCCAAAAGCTTATGTAAGAAGTACACTCTACTGTAGTCAGGAAATGCAAGTAAAATGCAGTTTAATTAAGGGCAAACATAAAACATCTCTTTCCATCAACAGGGTAGACCTCCTCTGTTGCACAAGACAGCTTCCAGCTGCAACATAAAGGACAGTCTTTTACTCACACAATGGCCAACATTGCATGCACTTCTCATTATAATCAGCTTTCTTCAGCATATACAGTCCTTAGTATTGCTCAGTAGCTTTCCTCAGCTCCAAGCCTCTCAGCACATCTCTGTGTAAAACTCACACTGCTCTCCCAGTAGTGTGTCCAACACATCCCTTGGGTCACCGACCTTTCTGACCTCTCCCCTTATGGGCACTCACACTGCTCTCTCAGCAGTGTGTCCAACAGGTCCCTTGGGTCACCGACCTTCCTGACCTCTCCCAGCCTCACCTCCAGCTGTTCCACGTCCGTCTAGCATGCACCCGAGCCTGCCTGTGTCCGTGTGCCTCCTGCACACACAACTCCAACACAACTCCCCTGAGCTCTGGTCCAGACTCCTAATAAGGCTGCTCTCAGCCACCGGATCCAGCTATACTGGTTATTGGCAACACTTGGCCCCAGGAATAGAGATTCCATCCCACTATAGTCCGGAAAACCTGGAAGGAACTTAAAAGTCAGTTTCTTCCCTGGAAAAGTTTTAACATCCTGAAACCTCTTAGCCCCTCTGAGTGTTCCTGGCGACAATGTTGCCAAATTAAGTTGTGGCATTGCCACACCCTTCTACACTTATTATCATCTCACCCCTGGATTGATACATACACAATATGAAAAAGAAGAACAACAATATGAAATTTAAAACGTTTTGTAACATTTTTATTGACATTTTGGTGAAATCATTCCCTAATATCGGGTGTTGTCTGATACAATATGAGTTCTGTATATGTGGATGACATTGTTTAGTCTTGTCTTTCAAGACATTGGTAATCCTCTGTAAACAATTATAATGTGGTTTTATGGGTATTGATGGGTATTTTAATAAAAATTTTACAAATCTTTTTAAATTTGGTTTGATCATTTTGTGGTTCTTTTTCATCTTGGAAAGCCCTATACATTTTCATATTGTGTATTTATCAATCCAGGGGTGAGATGATAATAAGCTTTTGGGAGACCTAATACTTAGATTTCTGTACAATATTCCAGTTTTTAAGTATAGTTTAGTATCGTGGCTTAATGTTAGATTATTTGTCAATGTTTTTTGTTGTCTTTTTCTGTGTCACTGCAGAATTTTTTTGTCTCTTCCTGTGTGGTCCCCAGGACAGGAAGTGACAGTAAATCTCCCCAATGGGAACACAGCAATAAAATCCTGACAGAGGTTCACTTACCCACTCTATCCATAATTTTAAAACGTTTTGACTGCTGTTCCACTTTAAGTTATGACAAACTTTACTTTTATTAATTAATTTAATATTTTTAACTTGCCATTTTAACATTTTCTTGTAATTCTTTAATAATGTGCTTGTTTTCTTTTGCAGCATCCTGGATCCAAAGTTACAGGATGTGCCTATATCCCCAGGACCTCCTCCTACACCCCCTACACCAGTGCTAACCCCTCCAGGGCCACTTGGCTCTGACAATGAGGAGCAGGAAGATCCTGGTGATTACTGTAGAGGTGAGATGTTTAGTCAGAATTCTACTTTCTGTCTAAATAGAAATGAGAGGGAAAGCACTTCTGTAATTATATATTATCTTTAATTAAATGGCATTAACACACATGCATCACTTTACAGAGTACATACAACTATTTATTTCAGTCACTACTCCAAAGCAGCTATCATTTTAATTCTCCTATCAGATTGATACAAGCATACGTTGGCTACAATAATTTTCTCAGAAACCACCACAAAAACAAAAAGTTTGGTTTTGGGTTGTACAAGGAAACCCACTCAAACAAATGTTGTTTGTATTAGCAGGCTCAAACCAAACTTTCTGTTATATAGTTTGCAGGCTCAATGTCAGTTGTGCCAGGACTGTAAAGCTAGCTATTCATGGAGCAATATGATCATTCAGAAGCAAATTATTATACTTTGGATGACCACCCAACTTCCTCATCCACTATTCAGTGCTTATATGGTGATCCGCAAAGCTTCTAATTCACTGCCTTGTAATATCTTGCCTTGACAACTGCAACTCCCTCCTTGTTGGCCTACCCCCCTCTGCCAATCACTCCACTGGCTACCACTTCCCCAACGGATAAAATTCAAAATGCTAACAATAACCTGCCAAGCCATCTACAACTCTGCCCCAACCTACATCACCCACCTCATTTCAAAATATCACCTAAACCATCCCCTTCACTCTTCCAAAGACCTTGCTCTCCAGCTCTCTTGTCACCTCCTTGCATGCTCGAATCCAGGACTTTTCCAGAGTGTCTCCCATTCTCTGGAGCGCCCTACCCCAATCTGTCCACCTATCTCTTACTCTGTCCACCTTTAGGCGATCCTTGAAAACTCATCTCTTCCACCTCAACATAACAGATAACAGTACTTTCAATTCTTCCATTAAATCATCCAACACAAACCGTGACAGATAACAAAGAAGAAAAAAAACATACAGGAATAGATGGTGGGCTCACTCCAGTCAACAGAGTCAACATAATCAAAATAGTAAATCAAACCAACATAGAGAACATACTCAATGTAGTAAATAAAGTAAATCTTATTGCCCAAAGTGATCCAATTAGGAATGGACCAACCGTAACAGGTACAATTAAAAATAGTAGTGGGCAACAAGAAGGTAGCAAACGTTTAACCAGTAAAAGTACAAAAATTAAATGAATGTTCACCAATGCTAGAAGTCTAGCTAATAAAATAGAAGACCTTGAAGTTACAGTATATTACTCGAGGAGGACTACGATATAGTGGGAATAGCAGAAACGTGGTTGGATAGCACACACGATTGGGCTACTAACATAGAAGGGTACAGCCTATTCAGGAGGGACAGGCTGGCAAGAAGGGGGTATGTGTATATGTTAAAAATAACCTCATGCACATCTGTGACGATATCACGTCAGATGGTGGAGATGAGGTGGAATCGTTATGGCTAGAACTAGATAGAGAACTAGGATATTGTAGTCGGGGAGACACTGGGTAATAGTGATCGCAAGGTGATTGCTTTTTATATTGGGTGCAAGAAAGGGAAGGGGGATGGTCGGATGAGAAGCCTAAACTTCAGGAAAGCCAACTTTGATAAACTACGCAATATAGTGGGTGAAATCAAATGGGAGAATTTATTTCATAAACTAAACGTAGACAAAAAGTGGGACTGTTTCAAGAACAAATTAAAAAATGCTATAACCAGGTGTATACCGTTGGGTGACAAAAATAAAAGATCAAAAACAAAGCCAATATGGCTAAATAAAACGGTAAAAAACACATTAAAAAAGTGGCATTTACTAAGTATAAAATGGAGGGGACAGTATTGGCATTCCAAAACTACAAAGAATGTAATAAAAGATGTAAACTGGTAGTCCGGGCAATTGAATGTGGGAAATACATCGCCACAGTTAGTAAAAGGAACCCCACAATTTTTTATCAATACATGGGACAAAAATGGGAGGTTAGTCACAAACGACAGGGAGAGGGCAGAGGCGCTAAATACTTTTTTCTCGTCAGTATTCACAGAGGAAACAGACGGGTTTAATGTACATGATAAAACACATAATTTAACAAGAAATACACTTGAGTGATTGACGGAAACTGGGATACAACATAGGCTTAAACTACTTAATGCAAATAAAGCATTAGGACCTGATAATCTACACCCCAAGGTACTCAAAGAAGCCAGGTAATAACGAAACGATTGTTCCTCATTTTTAAGGATTCCATAACGGCTGGTAAAGTGCCAAGCGACTGGCGGAGGACTAATGTGGTACCAATATTCAACCGGAGAACTATAGACCAGTTAGTCTGACATGCATAGTATGTAAACTGTTAGAGGGAATTATTAAGGACTACTTAGTGGAATTTGTTCGGGTTAATGGCATAATAACTGATAACCAGCATGGATTTAGGAAGGACCGTTCTTGCCAGACCAACCTCCTGACCTTTTACAAAGAGGTAAGTAGAGATCTGGATGGAGGGAGGCCGGTGGACGTAGTATATCTGGGCTTTTCCAAAGCATTTGATACGGTGCCACATAAACGCTTGTTATACAAGCTAAGGGCTATGGGCATAGATGAAATAGTGTATACGTGGATAGAAAACTGGCTAAAGGAACGTGTACGAAGAGTATCGATAAATGGCACCATTTCAGACTGGGCTGGGCTTTTTAACCTGTTTATTAATGATATTGGGGAGGGAGTGAGTAGCCATGTCTCAGTGTTTGCCGATGACACTAAAATTGGGAGGGTAATGGACACGGATTTAGACAATGCAACATTACAGGAGGACCTGGATAAACTCGGGGAGTGGGCAACTGTATGGCAGATAAAGTTCAATGTCGATAAATGTAAAGTAATGCACTTTGGAGTTATAGATCGCAGATTGAAGAACAGCGTGCAGTGCCAGACTGCTGTAAACAAAGCAAGCAGAGTCCTGTCTTGCATTAAGAAGGGAATGTATTGCAGGGACGAGTCTATAATTTTGCCACTTTACAGATCACTGGTTCGGCCACATCTGGAGTATGCGGTCCAGTTTTGGTCACCGATACTCAGAAAAGATGTCCTTGAGCTGGAAAAAGTGCAGCGGAGGGCAACCAAACTCATTAAGGGGTTTGAGGACCTGAACTATGAAGCAAGGTTGTTAAAATTAAATATGTTCTCTTTGGAGGTTAGGAGATTAAGGGGGGACATGATTTTCTTGTATAAACTGTCCAATAGCGACAGCAACATTATTAACAGACTGTTCACGGTTAGCTCCGTAACAAAGACCAGAGGGCACCACCAAAAATTGGTAGAAAAAAAATTTGAACACACGGGGCGCAAGGAGTTCTTCACAATTAGAGCGGTTAGGGTCAGGAACGCGCTGCCGCAGGAAGTGATCTCAGCTAAGAGTGTGGAATCATTCAAGAAACTCCTAGACAAGTTCCTTGGTGACCGTAACATAAAGGGGGTACCAGTACTCTTAAGAGAAAAATCACATATGGACTCATATACACGCACACACCTGCTCAAACATAAATGCATACAGGCAGTAGGTTGGACTTGATGGACTTATGTCTTTATTCAACCTCACATACTATGTAACTATGTAACACAATTATTACCTATTGTATCACTCGCCCTTCCTACTAGATTGTAAGATCTCATGAGCAGGGCCCTCCTACCTCCTGTACTGAAATTGTATTGTTAATTGTATTGTCTCTCTCAATTTTGTAAAGCGCTGCGCAAACTGCTGATCAGCTGATCGAGGGATGCTGGCCAGAGAGCAGCACCTACTGTGCAAATTCCGTCTGGTCCTTCAAGAACCGGCTGAAATTTGCACAGTGTTTATTATCTGTAATATCCGTCTCTTTAACCGATACCGATAATTAGAAAATAAGTCAATATCTATCGGTCCCGATTATCGGTAGATCCGATAATCGGTTGACCCCTAGCTCACACAGTGCCTGGACTAGATCTGAAGCAGATCTGCAAACTCAGTGCAATTGGATTTTGCCATGTTCAGGCTGCCTTCAGAGTAAAGAAAAAAAAAGCCCATCAGGGCTTTCAGGTGCAGACAAAAGAAAACAACGTTAGGCAAAAGAAAACAACGTTAGGCAAAAGAAAACAACGCACTGGAACAAGGCAAAAATGCACTGCACTGCATGGTGTGAACATCTCAGTTTAAATCAAACCAGTACTAAGAAAGTATGACAGCTACTATTGCTGGACTTTCCTTTTGAATACACTAGTTCCATTGCTGTCATTGATGTCCAGTGGTTTCAGTACTTTCTTAGTCACTGAACCCAAAGACATATGCAGATTAAGAAGTGCTGGCTTCGCTCTGACTCTCTTAATCCACATACTTGTTTGGGCTCACTGGCTCAGAATGTATTCATGCCAAAGACAGCTAGGCAGCTAGAATTCTCAGAAGGAGGTCAACAATTGGAGTGTTTCTTTCTCTCAGTACAGGTTTCCTTTAAAGGATAAGTTCACCTTCTGCATCACCTTTTGCAAAAATTAAAGAAATGCATAATTTATAATGTATAAAAAAATATGCATTTCTGTAATATTTGCATTCAAGCCTGGAATCTTGTTCACAGCTGCAAAGCTCAGGCTTCTGCATATTTTCAAACTGATAGAGCTTGTATAGATGAAGAGAGATGGTGGAAGGAAGGCTGGACTTCAAACTGCAATAAATCACCTCATACTGCGTCCAGCCATCCTCCCATCCTTGGTCAAGGTAGAGCTGCCCATATTCCCGCATCTACCTAGAGGGAAGACGGCTGGTCAAGTGATTTTGGTACTTTAGAAAACGTTTTTTAATTCATGCGGATATGAAAAAGATATTGAAGGTATTTTAAATGTTTTTATTTGTACACATACTATTTGTTTATTCATTTTTTTAGAGGGTGCATTATACGAATGTTACATTGTTGGATGATAACAGTGTATGATTAGTATTTTATGTTTTGAATATCTTTGTGATATATACAGTAGCTGATTTGTTTCTATTTTCGTTCACTGAATTTGAAGTAGGTGGTCTGCAGCTATAAATATTTTGATTATCGTTCCCAATAAGAATATTAATATAGACAAGGTTTTTAGTGAAACACAGGGAGATAATTGATTAGAAGATTTAAATGGCACAGTGGTATAGTGGTAGGCACCTTTACCTTGCAGCACTGGGGGTCTCTGGTTCAAATCCCAGTCAGGACACTGGAGCAAGGAGTTTGCATGTTCCCCATGTACTTGTGTGGGTTTCCTCTGGGTACTCCGGTTTCCTCCTACACTCCAAAGACATGCCGGAAGGTTAATTGGCTCCTGTCTAACTCGGCCCTAGTATGTGTATGCATGCATGCATGCACATACAGTATTTTGCGCTCCATAAGGTGCACCGGACCATAGGATGCAGGGAGGTCTGGTGCGCCTTATGGAGCACTGAACAGACCGGAGCTTCTGTACAGAAGCTGTGACAGAAGCTGCAGTTAGTGACTGCTGAGAGAGGTGGCGCTGTGATTACATCGCCACGGTCTCAGTGATCACACAGAGCAGATGTGGGGGCTCTATGGTGATTATAACACAAAAGAGAAAAACTGGTTTTTGAGAGGTATTACACCACAGCTTCAAGTTTTTGTATACAAATTAATTTTATTTAACATATGCTATAAATGCATATAAAAAACAAACAAGTGGTTGCAACAAGACCTAAAACGAGATAATTAAATAAGAAGCATAGACCCATACAAACATTCTGTACATGTCCATTAAAATCAGTGAGTGTTCATTTGAAAATCAGTATGTCCAATCCCTACACGTTTTGCAGCTTAGCTTCATCAGGGGATTGTGGACTAATCACCCGCTGGGAGTAACTGGATATGGGTAGAGCTCCCTGTACGGAGTGCGGACGGGGATTTGATTCCTCCGACATAAACACTCCGCCCAGATCTGTCACGGGGACCTTCGGGGCCACGACGCGACGGTGGTCCTAGGACGCAACGGTGGTCCTAGGACGCAACGGTGGTGACCTACAAGCAGGGGGCATTAAGGCGGCTGCAGGAGACTTTGCGACCGGACTGACCGGATCGACCAGACTATGCATTCCTTTTACATGTTCCACGATTAGAAGTGACAGGTTTATGGAAGTTGAAGCACAACAATATTACAGCTAAGATAAGCATAGGCAGTCCTGCCTTTCTGCTCAGACCTGGAACCCCTCCCATCGTGGCCCCGAGGTCCCCGTGACAGATCTGCCTTTGTCGCTTCCCCATGCCTGGGCTGCCTCTCTATCACTCCCTGTGCCCGCGCCGCGTCTCTTGGGCCCCTCACCCTGTGCCTGTGCTGCCTCTCTGTTGCACCCCCTCTGTGGCTCTGCTGTTGCCCCATTGCCCTGCTAATGCTCCGTGAGCCCTCTTCTACCGGCAGTAGAAAGCCTGCATCAAATCTCCCATCCAGCGGCTGGGAGAAATAGCCAGCCTGCTATTGCCTATTTTGAATTTCAATAGCAGGCTGGCTATAGCACCCACCCACAACCTGCTGTCATCCGTCAGAGGAGGACCTTTTTCCTTGGGTCCCTCCTCTGCGAATTGACAGCAGGCAGTGGGTCGGTGTAATAGCCAGCCTGCTATTGGCTATTGCAATTTGAAATAGCCAATAGCATGCTGGCTTTTGCTCCCAGCCACTGCATGCTGTATTTACATTCAGCTGCCTCAATAGGCAGCTGTCATTCCCCAGTGAAGTGGAAAGGTGATACTAGGGGTCTAAAAAAACCCTAATGTCACCTTAAGCATAACCTGCCACCTCCAATGTGCTATCACAACCCACCCCCCCCTCCCCTAATAAATTACTAAAACCCCCATACGTTAAAAGAAATGCAAAAAACAGAAGAACTCAAAAATGGGGAAGTACGCCTCCCAACTGCAAAATACCTCAAAGATTCTGAGGTCTAGATTACAGGGTGGGTGGAAACCTCTCCATATAAACATGTGAATTAAATTAATATGCAATAATGTGTTTTAAAAGGGCAGATATTTCCCCACATTCCTTAATGTGCTTATATGAACAAATAAGTAAATAAATGAATTGAATTGGCCCAAACTGTGAGCAGCTGGGACAATTAATACAGTTCATAGATTTGTGAAGACTTGTGTGTAATCTTATATTCAAACCTCATATATAGTGACAATGCTTCCCACTCACCAGATCCCCTCGATCAACTCACAATTAGTGAAATAAAATCTTCTCTCCACAAAACGATCAAAACTCCGCACCGAGTTGTCTTTCACTTTCCAAACTCCTCCACAGATGTATCCAATATGTATCAGTCATAGACCGCAACATCGTATCTTTTCATATAAGAGCACGCTCTCTCCTATATTCGGCACTTGTGTACAATCACAATTATCATAGTAATTGGTGAAAGCACCGGTATATACTTCCGGCACCGGATGCACTAACGGTGTATACCGGAGCTCCTTCCCCGCCACATCCATTCCGTACATATCGCGTCTGAACCACGTCAAATCGGACACCCGGATCAACTCTCCACACCCCACTGGTCATGGACAAGTTCGTGGCTCGTTGTCAGCCGGTCCACTGTGCTCTCTCCGCTCTGTCCAGCCCGGCGATCACACAGCTCGAATCAGTGGCCTTGGACGAAACTGAAGTCGATGCTGTAGGGACACTGGGTGAGTCTGCTATACCATCTCCCCAAGCCCCCATTGATTACCAGCAGCTGGCGGCTACTGTGGCTTCTCACTTGAGATCAGAAGTCGGCACCATCATAGCGGATTCCCTGACACTACATATGGGGCCTATCACAGCCGCCTTGGAGGCACAGACATCCAGGATGTAGGCCCTAGAGATCCGTGTTAGCGAGCTGGAAGACCATGCCACTTGGTCTGATCTCATGCTGACGATAAAAAAAGTTTTAATATCTACAGGACAAGGTAGATGATCTAGAAAACAGATACGCAGAAACAATCTCAAAATTATAGTGATCCCTGAATCGATTATGCCTAATGATCTACAGCATTTCTGCTCCTCCATTGTCCCGCAAGCCATGGGCATCACGTCTACCTGCGCAGTGGAAAGGGCCCACAGAATAGGCCCCCCCAAAGATCAGGAAAGACTCAGGCCAGTCATTGTCAGATATCTAGACCACTTGGACAAGCACCATATCCTGCAAACCTACAGGAGGCAATGCCAACTGGTAGCGGGCGGTCACAAGTTACTGCTTTTTGCTGATTATTCTGCAGAACTGTCTAAACTACGTCACTTTTTCCATGAGGTGTGTCAAACCCTGGTGAACAGGCCGATCAAGTTTGTCTTGGCGTACCCAGCAATCCTGCGCCTATCGGACCCAGATGGCAATCAAATCCATTTCACGTCTGCTACTCAAGCCAAGGTATATGTGGACAGACACCTGTCCGCCCCTATCGTGCAGTCCAACTCCCCACTTAAGAGTCCACCTCGGAAGAAGAAGGCCTGAATCTCAAGTTGCCGCACAATTCTTCTCTCTACACTAAGTGGTCTAGTTGAATGGGCGGTTACACGGCACAGTGTGCCCACACTCCACTATCTTTGACGTGTGTTCCTAAGTACTTAACAGCTTTTTTATTCTTTTACTCTACATGTTCCGAGACTCTTTTCAATAGTGGCGCGGCGTAGCAACCGGACGTTGTCAACCCCGTGATCTCCATGGCTCTCAGAGGGGATTACCTTTCCCCCAACGCTGATGGCCAGACCATCGCACACCACCATCCGGAAAAAAGGAAGTCCCTGACAGGTTTATGTTACTACATGACTGTTTTCATGTTTGCTTTGATTATAGACTTCATAGTTTCTGCTCTGCCGGTTAAGAGCAACCGTACCTATACAGCCATGTGGATGAAGACCTCTCTCGACACTCTCTTCAAAATCCTAGTGACTAATGGGTCACGCCTTTCATCACAAGGTATAGTGGGTTCCATGACTCAGAGCCGTTTCTCTCGCACTAGGACACAGGTAACAACTCGACTTTGTCTTTTTTTGGTCTATCACAACCTCATTGTCATGCTATCACCTCGGACTATATGGGAACCACCTTAAAAGTGTCCTCCTGGAATTTCAAAGGACTAGGAGACAAGTGTTACGTCACCTTAGAAAGCATAAGGTGGATATTGCACTGTTACAAGAAACCCACCTTCTTCGAGAGGACATCGTCCGTCTTAAACAATTGTGGGTGGGAACAGCGGTGTGGGCACCCTCAGTGGGTCGATCTGCGGGGACGGCAATACTTATCAATAAAGACTTACCTTACTCTCCTAACAACACGACATGGAGGGGGGTCGGTGGTCCCACCTTACTGTACAGATTGGGCAGGTTACGTTTGAGATATGTAATATATATGGCCCCAATGTGGACAACAAGCCTTTCTTTGACAAGTTATTGTCTCGACAATCTCCTTCTGCCCCTGATACATATGTCCTATTTGGTGAAGATTTCAATGCAGTCCCGACTACCCTGGAAGATCGTTCCTGGACCAAGGAGGCGCCCCTCTAATGCCACCCTTGTTCAAGACCATAATTTCTCGGCTATGATCCAAGCGGGAGGCCTTGTAGATATTTGGCGATTTCTTCACCCATTGACTCGTGAATTCACCCACTTCTCCCATGCCCATGACTCTCTCTCGCGCCTGGACTTGTTTCTCATCTCATCCAACCTGGTATCAAAGGTGTCCTCAGTGACTATAGAGGATATGGTCATCTCAGATCAATCCCCGGTAACAGTTGACATTCAACATTCTGGCCTACCCTCCAGACCAGTGGTGTGGCGATTCCTGTCTTATGTAGCTACTGATGATACGTTTTAGGCACATCTAGCCTCGTGGTGGGGTGACTATGTTTCTGATAATGCTTTGCACATTGAAGATCCTATTCTGTTTTGGGAGGCGGCAAAGGCAGGATTCTAGCTTATGTCTCCTCCCAAAAGAGACAGACCAGACAGAGGTATGTAGAGACGTGCACAGCGGCCAGAACGGCATAATTGATGTATCGACAGGATCCTTCCCCTCGCGCCAGATCCGAATGGACTCAGGCTAAGCAAACATGTGACCATTGGATTGCCCAATATGACCTTCAAAGTCGATCCCACAATGAGGTAGAACGTTTTAATTTTGGAAACAAATCCGGGAAATTATTGGGAAATGTAATCCGGAGAAAAAACGCTCCACCCCACACACTGACTCTCGTCAATGACAAGGGTGAGATCTCCGCGGATCCCGATAAGGTTTGTGACACATTTCGTACCTTTTATCAATCCTTGTATGCAGCTGACACCGGAAACCTCCCCGCGGGGTCCTCTTTTCTGGACTCCCTCTCCTTACCTTCCTTGTCCGCTGCAGACCTGGATCAAATGACTGCTGCAATAACACTTCAGGAAGTGCAGGCAGCTATTCACAACTCCCATGGTTCGAAAGCTCCTGGTCCTGATGGATTATCAGCCAAATTCTTTAAGTCCATAATCAAACACATTTCCCCTACCCTGGTATCCCCCATATTCTACACCAAGGTTGCTACCTATCCACGTTTAGTACTGCCTACATCACATTATTGTCTAAGAAGGGGAAGGATCCCACACTCCCTAGCTCATATTGTCCTATCTCCCTGCTTAATTTTGATGCCAAACTGCCTTCCAAAATCATGGCAAGCAGACTGGCCGCTGTGCTGCCTCATCTTGTCTCACCAGACTAGGCGGGTTTTGTGACCGGTCGCTCCGCTGTATTGAATGTCAGGAAAATACTTACTGCTTTGGAGGCAATATGGTTGTCGGGGTCCTCTCCCGGTCCAATGGCCCTCTTGGCCCTGGACGCGGAGAAGGCCTTCGACAACGTAAACTGGTCTTGGCTCTCACTGGTTATGAAAAAATATGGTTTCTAAGGGATGTTTCTAAAATACATTTCTACTATGTACAGTTCTCCTTCTGCACAGATATATACCTCATTGGCCCTTCCTTTCGCTTATATAAGGGAACCCGTCACAGCTGTCCTCTCTCTCCTATTCAATCTGGCTATAGAACCCCTGTCCCGATCCTTGGCATCCTCTCGAATCTTTACTGGTTACCAATCGGTCCCTATGACACCAAACTGGCCTTATTTGCAGATGATATCCTGCTACTCCTATCTGATCCACTAACCAAAATCTCGAAAATCCTTGACCACATCACCCATTATGGCTCCTTCTCTGGCCTCAGAATCAATGTCAACAAAAGCGATCTCCTATCTCTAACTCAAGACAAGACTTTTATAGCAAACCTTTCCCGCACATACCCCTCTTTGTTGATACAAAAACATTCCATCACTTACTTAGGGATCTCCATTCCTCGCTCTGCCAGAGATTTATATGACTTGGACTATAAACCAATCATAAATAAAATAGTCCAAGAATTGCGCACCTGGAAGGACTATCCTATCTCCCTTCTGGGTAGATGTCATCTTATAAAAATGGTTAGCTTTGCAAGGTTACTTTACCCTCTTCAGACTATACCCCTTCTACTGAAACACAAAGATTTCCAAACCCTCCATAGCGCCTTCTCAACATTTCTTTGGAGAGGAAAAAAAGCAAGAATAGCCTTCCAAAAACTCCAACAGCTGGTAGGGAATATAGGCACTAATCTCCCGAACATTTGGGCATACAATATAGCCAGCCTATTCCATCATATACGGGATTGGATGCATGATACTACATTTTTAACCAATACCCCTCTCGAGGGATATTAGGGATACTATCCTTCTCAGGGACACCGTGATAGCATGGAGAGAAATCAGGAAAGTCTTCCGCCTGCCCACTGTGATCTCCCCATTGATCCCCCTCCCTGGTTTTTGAACCGGGTACTGACTCTAGTGCCTTCCGAACGTGTGCGGTCAAGGGTATCTCGGTCCTTGAAGATCTCTTTAATTCCCAAGGACATCTCAAGACCTTTCAGGACCTCCGAACCCAACACCGTCTCCCCGCCACCCATATTTTCCCGTACATGCAACTACGCCACTTCATCTCCCGCCACCTTACTCTACCGTGGCGAGAAATAGTTCACTCACCTATCACTCCTTTACTCTCCTCCCCCCTTATTGCCCGGACTGTGACGACCTTTATACTGGAGTCCTCCAACTCGGTAGCTAGCAGGGTCTTGTCCTGTATTAAAAAGGGGATGTATTGCAGGGACAAGTCTATAATTTTGCCACTTTATAGATCATTGGTTCGACCTCATCTGGAGTACGCGGTCCAGTTCTGGTCACCAGTACTAAGAAAAGATGTCCTTGAGTTGGAAAAAGTCCAGCGAAGGGCAACCAAACTAATTAGGGGTATGGAGGACCAGAGCTACGAGACGAGGCTACTAAATTTAAACATGTTCACATTAGAGGTGAGGAGATTAAGGGGGGATATGATTTCCATGTACAAAATGTTTAATGGTGGTAGCAACATTAGCGATAAACTGTTTAAAATTAACTCCGTTACAAAAACTAGAGGCCATCACCAAAAATTGGTGGAAAAAAAATTCCAGCACAAGGGGCGAATGGGGTTCTTCACAGTAAGAGCAGTTAGGGTCTGGAACTCACTGCCACAGGCGGCGATTTCAGCAAATAATGTGGAATTGTTCAAGAAACTTTTGGACGATTTCTTAAGGGACCGTAATATACAGGGGTACGGGTACTCCTAGAATGAGATCCTAATAGGTTGGACTTGATGGACTAATGTCTTTATTCAACCTCAAATACTATGTAACTATGTAACATCCCATATTCAGCGCTGGGCATAATTTCTGAACATGACCACAGAAGACACGCATACGATAGTGGTGCACAGATGGTGACAAATTCGGAAAGCCATAATTAATGAATCCTGGCGTGAGATATATTTTAAAGTAGTACATAGAGCATACCATGCTTTTAATATTCCCACCAAGAGTACACCCTCCATATGGTTAACCGCTTGTCCGAAATGCCTCCTCCCCCTGCCTCACCTTCCACACCTACTTTGGTCCTGCCCTCACATACAAACCTTTTGGTCCGCCGTATTTTCTTTCACAAATACCCACTCTCGTAAGGCAAGATCATTGTCCCCAGCCTTCTGCCTACTGCACGCCCTTCCCCTAATATTTAATAAAGGGAGCCTTTATTAAAAAATAACAATAACAACCATAGTCGGAAGAATCAAGATTTCCAGAAGCAGTCATTACAGATTATAATGCACAATATAAAGTTGTTGAAAAAATTATGAATAAGCATTGGAATATTCATAAATTAGATAGAATTGTAGGACCCCTGATCCCACAAAACCACAAGTAATTTATAGGAGGCTCCATCCCTTAAGGATCTCATAGTACACAAAGGGGTTGAATCCACCGCCTAAGGTAAAAAATTACTTTGGAAACAAATGTTTCTATCCTTGTAAGCAATGTATAGGGTGGCCAATAAACGAAAAGGAATTAAATCAACCCATTTTGAGTCCAATTGAAATAAAGGAGTTTATTTTGTGCCACACATCCTTTGTTACGTATTTATTAGAGTGCCCTTGTGGCCTCCAATATGTGGGAAGGACGACAAGGGAATTAAGGGTTAGGATTAGTGAGCATGTAAAGAACATTAATAATGGATTAGAATCACACAGTTTATCTAAACATTACAAGGAAGTTCATAATAAGGATCCCTCCACTTTGATATTCTGTGGAATTGACAGAATTCAAGGACATTGGAGGAGTACCAATAAAACCCAAATGATTTCTCAAAACGAAACAAAATGGATCTTTTCTTTTGGACACACTAAAACCGAAGGGGTTAAATGTGGAGTTGGATCTCAACTGTTTTATTAGTAATAGTTAGTGACATTAATACTGGCTGAATATAAAACAAAAGGTAGTCTATATTGGATAGATATTTATTGGTCTATGTGATAGGTACAGTGGGTGTCGGGTGGATGCATGTCATTTTTTAGGTATGCTTTTTATGTTTATATGGATATACTCTGTGTAAATGATTTAATTGTACTGAATTGAATTGAAGGGGGTTTAATTGAATACTAGATTAATGAGGATATATAGGATGGATACTTTTGACGTGCATGCTACCCTTGAGAAAGTCCACTGTGATGAAATGCATCGGAGACAAGCGCGCACGTTGACGGTATCCTCATCTCTTTGATGTTTGCACCTGAGGATATAGCTGCTTGGGAAAGCGTGAGAGAAGCCTTGGCGTTTTTATAAGCTCAATGCACCTTTGTTTGATGTAAGTTTTTAACTCGTTGCGCAAATAAACGTTTTAAAATTTTTTATTCTATGTGCATCTTATCTGTTTTTAATCGGGGTAATTATACCGTTGCTTTCACCAATTACTATGAGAATTGTGGAGGAGACCGAGATGTGATTGTACACAGGTGCCGAATATAGGAGAGAGCGTGCTCTTATATGAAAAGATACGCTGTTGCGGTCTATGACTGATGCATATTGGATGCACGTGGAGGAGTTTGGAAAGTGAAAGACAACCCGGTGGGGAGTTTTGATAGTTTTGTGGAGAGAAGATTTAATTTCACTAATTTCAAGTTGATCGAGGGGATCTGGTGAGTGGGAAGCATTGTCACTATATACGAAGGTTGAATATAAGATTACACACAAGTCTTCACAAATCTGTGAACTGTATTAATTGTCCCAGCTGCTCACAGTTTGGGCCTATTCAATGAATGTATTTACTTATTTGTTCGAATAAGCACATTATGGAATTTGGGGATATTTAAGGTTTTTATGCATATCTGCCCTTTTGATACACATTATTGCATATTAATTTAATTCACATGTTTATATGTGGAGGTTTCCACCCACCCTGTAATCTAGACCTCAGTATCTTTGAGGTATTTTGCAGGTGGGAGGTGTACTTCCCCGTTTTTTTGTTCATCTTGCACTTCTTTTCATGTATGAGGGTTTTAGTAATTTATTAGGGGAGATAGCGCAGTGTATTGCAGTATACACTTTTTTGACCATAGTACCATATGTCTGTCGGTCCTTCACTGCGGATTTCAAATAGTTAAATTGTTTGGGGGTAAGGGTTGTATCCACAAGCGTGAGTAGCGACGTTTTTTTTACAAATTTTTGGTTTTGGCCTTACAAATTCTGCTGCGCAATGTGGTGCCATTCATTTCAATGGCACCCCAAACACACTTCCTGCCCGCAGTGTGATTACCCACACTGAAACACGCGGTACTGCAATGCCGTGTGTTCCAGTGCAGCTCGATTACAAAAAACTGTGCACACAGTTTTATTCTGAAATAACTTTATGTTTGTAAAACTCCACTTGTGTATTTTACATAAAAGATGGTATTTTTTTATTATGAAAATATTCATTAGTTGCAGCCTTACAAGGAGGTGTTGTTTTGTTTTCTTAACCATTGTGAACAGAAGCTTTTATTGATTCATAGAAGGGTACAGAGATTGGACAAACTGGAACATTTGAAGGGGGTCCTATATAAAAAGATAGGGATGCACCGATACCGATACTAGTATCGATATCGGTGCCAATTCCGAGTACTCGTACTCGCCCAAATGCTCCGATGCCTAGCACGAGTACTTCCGGTATCAGGTTTTCCGATTGGCCGGGAAGCGGCTCGATGCTCTCTTGTCACATGTGATTGGCCTCGTGAGGTAAGGTTACTTTAGTATGTGCAGCCTGTCACCCCCGGGGCCTCTCCAGCGAGAATGCGGCATCCTCCAGTACCCAGCCTGAGCCTTCTGGCCGGCCAATCAGGAAGCCGGGCGTCGCGTCATTACACGCCCTGCTTACTGATTGGCCGGGAAGCTGGCTTCATGCTCCCTCGTCATCTCATGACACACTATACTCAAAGAGTCTGAATATTGATATTGACATAAGTTGTTTCATTTCAAATTATTAACCCTTTCGCTGCCAAGCCCTCCGGAACATTT